AGCATTCTAATTCTCTTCAGTTTTTGGCATAGTTTAAGTGTTTTTTATTTTTTCACTTGACAGGGCAAAAGTCTTTCACCTGTGATCAGTGTGGAAAGTATTTCAGCCAGAAAAGACAGCTAAAGAGCCATTATCGAGTCCATACAGGTACGATACCGATAAGGTGAGAAAAAAATGCACCCCTGGGGAAGAAGTGCAGGTACACAGTATTTGTGGAACAGTAGGTTCATCTTACAGAATGAATGAAAGAGCTGGAAAAACCAGTCGGGCTGGGAGTGCAGCTCATTTAGTAGAGAGCTCCTAGTGTGAATGAAGTCCCAGTGTCACATAAAAGCAGGCATTCGAGCACACACCTGTTATCCCAGCACTTGAGAGATGGAGGCAAGAGGATCAGAAGTTCAAAGTCATCCTCAGGTATGTAGTGAGTTCAAGGCCTGCCTGGGATACCTGAGACTGTAACAGAAGAAGAAGAAGCAGCCAGCAGTCACCATGCTGTTCTCCACCACCACAAGACTCAGTTCAATGTTTGCACCATGATTTTGGAACCGTAGATAGAACCAGCACAGGACCACTGTATCCAAAAGTGCTGCCTGCCCCAGAGGCTTCAGTTGGCTGGCTGTTGTTAGGGACACCTGGAAAGGGATGTTTCACCCGTGACTTCTCTTCTGCTGAAGGTCCTGTTCTCCTTCCCGGCAGGAGACAGGACATCATTCAGGTTCAACTGCCCAGTCCCAGGGTTTGGAGAGAAGGGTGTGTAGAAGGGCTAGGAGGACCCTTGCTCTCAGAGAAGCACTGAGCTGAGACACACTGGGTGAGGAAGTGTATTGTTGTTGTTAAAGTGCCATATTTAAAGTGACTGTTTTTCAGGGCAGTGCTTTAACACAGATCACTGAAGAAATGCAGGGAGATCATGCATGCACTGACACTTTTTTTATCGTTGCGGCAAGGCCACTCACTACCAGAATGCAACCACTGCCATCGAAAATTCATGGATGTGTCTCAGCTAAAGAAACATCTGCGAACACACACAGGTAACACGCCACCTCCTTCAGCCTCCTCGCTGCACTCGGTGTCCACCGTCTGTGTTTGGTACGCTTGCTGCAAATGTGGTGCCAGTTTGATTTGAAAGGCCAAGGTGAAGGCAAAATGCTGCCACCGTTGTGTGGGGACATTACATCATCCCACTGTAAGTCTGCACAAAATGGAGATCACCCGATGGACACTGGTCATGTGTGAAAATTCATGCACTTCCACAGCATAGTGTCAATCTCAGTCAGGTTCTGTTTCACTCTCAATTACTTCAGCACTGAGGGTGATGGCAATAAACTGTTTAGAAAGGGAAGCATGCAACAGACACAGAGGTGACGTAGAATTCCTCTCTGGCCTTTGGAACTGATGTTCAACCCCAAGCATTAAATTACTACCTCCCAGAGAGGTCGGGATGAGAAGGCGCCTTTTGGGGGAAGGTCGGGTTTTGTTGTTTTTGTTTTCTTTCCATTTTAAATTCAGAGAAGTAAAGCTGTCCGTCTTGTTCCTTTTGGAAGGGGTATGGGTTAAAAGTAAGCCTGTTGCATTTTTCCAAAAACAGTTTCTATTAAGCTGGATTATTTAGTGATTCTGCCAAGTTGTCTACTAATATTGTATAGGCAGATCTCTGAGTTCAAGGGCAGCCTAGTCTACAGAGTGAGTTCCAGGACAGCCAGGCTATAGAGAGAAACTCTGTCTCAAAATCCAAAAGGGGGGGAGTTGTTTAGTTTTGGGCACTTTGATTTTTTTGATGCAGGTTGTTAATTTCCTAACTTGAAGAAAACCTAGTGTAGTTAAGTATCATCATCCAAGTGCCTGGGACCAGAAGCACCTAAAACCCCAAAATGTTCCAAATCCCAAACTTGTTGAGTATCACTGTGATGCCACAGTAGAAAATGCCACGCCTGTCCTCATGGGACAGAGCATAGTCAAGATTTAGGTACACGGAAGGAAATACTGTCTAAAACTGCTCACCAGGCCGTGTGTGTAGGAAGTTTATATGAAACATGATGATTTTGTGTGTAGACTTGATCCCACCTCTAAAGTGTGTGTGTGTGTGTGAAAGAGAGAGAAAATTTTCTAAAACTCTGTGATATTTCTAGTTCCAAGGAATTTTCCTTTACAATTTTGTTGAGATTTCTTTATTTTACATGAAAGTGTGGTTTGCAGGGTTGGGCATTTACCACATGCATGCAGTACTCACAAAGACCAGAAGTTGTGAGCTGCCATGTGGGTCCTGTGTTCTTTGGAAGAGCAGTCAGACCCCTAAGCACTTAGGAAATTGTCTCATAAACGGTGACTTTTTATAACTCTTACCTCTGTACATTCTTAATTTTTTATGGTGTGTGTATGTGTGTGTGTGTACCTATCCATGTGCACACTTGGGCCACAACATATATGTGGAGGTCAGAGGACAACTTGTTAGAGTCAGTTTCCTCCACCATGTGGGTCCTCAGCCTTGGTGGCTGGTGTCTTTACCTCCAGACCCTCTCACTGGCTCCTTGACTTCCACAGACATTTGTATTAGTAGGGGCTGTGAAATTTAGTGCAGCCATTCAGTACACACTTACTGACCGTTGGCTGAGTACCAGGCTCTGTTGTAGACCCAGAGGCCAGGTAATGAGATGTCCAAGTCCCTGCTGGTGTGACTTGCACAGGGAGGCAGAGTGCAGACAATAGGTGGCGTGTTTCATGGTGCGTGGGAATACAATGTGGCGTAGGAAAGCAGGTGTGGGAAGAGGTGCTTCTCTCGGGGGGACTGTCCTGGGAAGGCCTCAGGGATGGGAGCCTCTTGAGTGGGAATCACACTGTGGGATGGGGAATAGGAGGTGCTAGGGGAGGGAAGCTCAGTGGGCAGACCACAGGGACAGCAGAAGGCCGTGCACTACAGTTTCACCCTTTAGAGCTGCACATACAAACACTGAGAAGAGCAAACTGATTCCCACCAAGAGGGTGTGACTGAATTGGCTGGGGCAGAGCCTCGGTCACCCCTAGCCCACCCCCATGCTTCCCTTGAGCATGCCAGCTTAATTGGAGGCTGCAGTGAAGACTTAGATGGCCTTGCCAGGGCCCCTCAGTCACTGCCATGACAGTGGAAACCAGAGCACATAGCCTGTTTGGGGCAGATTCTGAGGACGAGTCAGCATGCTTTGCTATTTATTGATTGGATGTGGGGTGGGACGTAAAGGGGGAAGAGGAGGAACAGCAGGGAGGGACAAGCAGTCTATAGCTTGTGGGCCTGCTAGACCCAAGGTATGCCGGGTGCGTGTGGAGGAGGTACTTGGATGCATGAGCCTGGAGGTCGGGCCAGCTGTGAATGTGCATGCTTACAATGGCTCTAACAGCGTGTAAGACCTCGGGGACCTCAAATCTGGGGAACCAGAGGGATGGTACAGGGCTCAGGGCCCAGCTGCTGAACAGTGCAGGATAGGACATGCTTCTAGCCTCAAGCTAGGCTAGCCTTAACTCAATGGAGTCCTCCTGCCTCAGCCTCCTGAGTCTTAAGACTATAGGAGTAAGCTGCAGCCCTTGACAAGACTCCTGTTTTTTATGAGCAGGCAGTCCTTGTATTGGGGTAGAAAGGAGATGGTCTCTCCCTATAACAATATAATGAACCTGTCTCAGGAGAACATGCAGTACGTGTGGTGAGTTTGTTTGCTCATTAAAATGCAAAAAAAAAAAAAAATCAAACATTGGTCCCTGTTGGGGGATAATAAATCAAACCCATCAAAACATTGGGGTTCTTCAAGGACAGGGTCTTCCCATGACCCATCGATCTCTAGCACTCAGCTCAACGGTGGTGAGGGACATGGGCAGCCCATTCCTTACCCAGAACCAGGATGTAAAGCAGACATTTTTGCCAGGATAGCCATGCTTGGTTTAAAAACCTAGACTGTAATTTGGTTCTTAGATCTCCTGCTCTCTCTGGGTGAGATGCCGGGCCCCAGACACCGGGGAAACCAAAGGCGCATTGTATCTCTGTTCCCCAGGAGGGTATCCTAAGAGAGAATGGGGGCAGCTTGTCCAGTGGGCAGTCGGTGCTGCCGTGGCTGAGTGAGAGGAAACCTGGCTCATGATCTCACAGTCGGACCCTTTCCCTGACCTGGAGCAGGTCAGACTCGTGGGGATGGGGTCAAGCCAGGCAAACTCACACAGCTGATGAGAGGCCATTTATTTGTTGTGGGTTTTGTTCTTTTGAAAGGGTCACGCTGTGTAGCTCACCATGGCCTAAGAACTCAGGTCCTCCTGCGTCAGCATCACGAGTGCTGGATTGTAGGTGTGCATTTCCACCTCTGCAGCATCTCAACCCTTAGATGACGTTAGAGAACTACTGATTCTAACGTGGGCTCCCGTGCTCATGTGGCTGTCCCGCCTGGTCACGTGACCAAGTTCATGCCATCACAGTTTCATTCACAGCCTCATTCTGTGGGTTAGGTACAAAGCTGCCAGTTTGTATGCCTGTGTGTTGAGATGACCCCATCTTGCTTGTTCCGGTTTTCCTGAGATCTGGGCCCCTCGGGACATCATGCCCTTCAGAGTCCGTGTGTCTGCATTAAGACTCTCCCCACAGTGTGAGGAGCCACAGAAAGAAAGGAGGGTGGGTCTCGTTCCCCAGAGTGGGACCTGGATCAGGAGGGCAGAGCAAGTGGTGGGTGACTCAGGAAGCAGAGGGCATGTCCCCAGTCAGACAAGCGGAGTTTGAGGACTTGAAAGCCTCGCTGCTGTTCGCGGTGACCAGTGGGGTGAGGTACCAGACAGTGGGCAGACCGCTGAGAGCAGGCAGGGGCATGAACTGGGAGAGGGGGTTTCTTGATTTGTGTCTTGAGAAAGGACTGGAGCAGCCTTGGGAGGATGGGCAGAGAAGGAAGGGCCTGGGGATGGGTGGTTAGCACGCCTGACAGGAAGGAAGGTCTTCAGGTCAGGAGAGTGGGGGGAGAGAGATGTCTGCGAGCTCATTGGTCTGGACAAAACAGTCACTGCTCGTAGGACAAACTGTTAATACTCCAGATTTTAAAAGGGGGACAACCAGGCCGACGTCATGGATGGACCCTCTGGAACTAAGTCAGCTCTGCCTGCGCCTTCCTGTGCCGTCCGCATGTGTCTGGCTTTCATTATTCCTGTCTAGCCCTCCTGTAACAGACTTCCTCCTGGTCTCTGCTCCTCAGGCCCTGACACCTCCCCCGTTAACCTCTGTCTCCATCTGTCTCCTGCATCTCCTGGCCCAGGCCTCGGTACCTCATGCACTGTTGATTTCGGCCGTCAGTCAAGCACTAGCTTGACTAGCTCCTCAAATAGACTGCGCACCCCTTCTGCAGCTGTGGTCACATCTGTTTTGTTGCCGTCTTCCCCAGCAGTTCACGTGGCTGGTGGCCTGTCAGTGCTTCAGAACGGAATAAACGAGAGGAGTGGTCCCCAGGTGGATGGAGGTAGTTTATACAGAAGAGATCCGAAGCCGGGTCAGACTCCATCAACGTAGCTTGAGTGTCCTACAGACCTCAGTGTTGGAAACCTAATGGCTGACAAAAATGTCACAACAGTCAGATGCTGGTGAATGGAGCAGTACTGGCAGTGGGGTGGTGGGGCACTAAGAAGAATGAGTTTAGTCCCGCCCCTCCCCCTTCCCCTCCAGTGTCCTCTTTCTTTCCCACCTTCTGCCATGAAAGGTACAGCAAGAAGGCCGTGGTCGGGTGTAGGTCCCTGAACTCTGAACTTCTCACTTTCCCGAACTGTAGCTATTAAGTTCGTAGGCCTGTGCATGGTGATGAATACCTGTCATCCTACTACTCGGGAAACAGGCAAGTGGATCTCTGTGACTGGAGGCCAATCAGGGCTACATAATGTAAAAAAAATTATTGCCAACTCTGTGAATTTGAAATGCAAGTAGAGTGGATACTTGGTCTACGTGAGAGGTGGAAACTGACCCAGGTCTGGGTGGGCCCCAGCTCTGATTAGAAAGCCACCTGGTGATAACTTTTGGAGTGATAAAGGTAATGATGTAGTTGCTGGTTCGTCCAGCTTATCTCCTGCATGGGTGCCCTGCCTGGGAGGAGCTGGGAGACAAGTCTAGCCTGAAAGAGCATCTCAAGTTGCCCTCCTGCCCTGCTGTCCTCTAGTGAGGCCAGATCTTACTGGCTTTTCCAAAACTCCTCTCACCTACGTCAGGATCCCTTCACTCTGCCTCCGGGGGGCATGAGAGTCTGTTGGTTTGTGTTTGTGTGCAGGCTGACCCTGAAAAAGGCTTGTTGCTGTCAATGAGACGGTCTGAACACTTGTGCATTTTATGTGAGCCTTAGACCACCCCTGGGAAAGTCGTTCATTTAGCAGGGTTTCTGAATGGTGTGTGTGTGTGTGTGTGTGTGTGTGTGTGTGTGTGTGTGTATGTGAGAGATGATCTACCTGTTGCAGTGGAAAGGTGTGTGTGTGTGTGTGTGTGTGTGTGTGTGTGTGATGATGATGATGATCTACCTGTTGCAGTGGAAAGCTGTGTGTGTGTGTGTGATGATGATGATGATGATCTACCTGTTGCAGTGGAAAGCTGTGAGTGTGTGAGTGTGTGTGTGTGTGTGTGTGAGATGATGATGATGATGATGATCTACCTGTTGCAGTGGAAAGCTGTGTGTATGTGTGTGTGTGTGTGTGATGATGATGATGATGATCTACCTGTTGCAGTGGAAAGCTGTGTGT